AATGATATGATCTAATTTTTCAGATGTTTTTCTTGGTCTTCAACCATGTGGACAATCTTTTAAATCATATCCATAACAGTATTTCACAATAATATTGTTCACGGTTGCTTTATCTATCAATAAAAGTAAAGTGATTTCACGAAAAGACTTCTTTTGAAAATTTTATGACTCTCATGAATTAGGATTTTTGTATGTCAAACCATGTTTTATACTTCCACATCCTTCTCTGAACTAAATGTAAACATTTATTATTTATAAACTAACTTATGAACACCCTTTTGCTTGATTGTATATTATGTGGTTAGTTTTGCACAAGTAAATACAACAATTATATATATAAACACTTTTACAAATATAAATATTTCTTTACTATATTATTTGTTTCGTTCATTCCTTCATTTCATACTAACATTCTATAGTGATTAAAAACCATATGTCATTCTTTAACATAAATTGGAGTACAAAATGTTACTGCCCAGAAACTTTGGCACTCCACTATATATAAATTTTTTTTATTTTACACGGTGCTTCATAAACTTTAATTTATACCAAAAATTAAATTATGGCATTTAAGTCATAAATGCCCTAACTATTGTAATATTTCACATAGTAAAAAAGTGGAATTTCACATAATCTCTATAACAATATCTGAGTACTAAAGATTTTTTGTACTAAAGTTTTATTTTATTGCCTACCTATCTTGTTTTAGAGGAAACAATTTTCAAGCTGTTTAACACCCAATCACTAATGACTCAGCCAACAGCCAAGATAATTATGGAGGTCTTCTAGACAAAATTGCAGCACATGCTCAGGCATGAAAGCAGATCTAAACGCTATCTATAACTTCAGCAGATCCTTAGACATGACTGGCATCTGGCTTGTCTGCATCATACTTTTGAGTTTTTGCTGGCAGCGGTCTTCTTTACATCTGGAGGTGTCACAATAGTCTAAAAGTCAAAATTTTTCAGAGTTTTTTTTCAGAAAAGTATGATCAGATGTCATTGGAAGAAAACCACTAGCCACTGATGTCTTCAGCTTCTGCCTAGACCAGCTACATCTGACATATCTGCATGATAACTACCATGGTCTTTTTAAGTTAGTCATTATTGTTCATAGAGAGTTACCTGATGGCACCCAAAACTTTACTTTTTAAAAGCCACGGCTTTGTATTAGGACCATATGTTGTTTGAAGATGTGAATCTTCTTTCCTTAGGTCTCTCAGAGTGCAATAAAGACATTTAACCTTCTCTGTGGCACAATCAAGTTGACTGATTTTTCATTTTTCTTGTAAAACAAAATGCTCATACATAATTTGTTGTGTGATTAGCCAAAATGTTCCCTGTCATAATACATCATTCTTAAAGCTTTGGAGAAGCCCAACTATACTATCACCAGAGCTAAAACAAAAACAAATACGCTGGCACATCATCTCAGGTATCTGTGTGAAGGTAAGGTTTTTGATAAATAAAAGTTCCTTTAGGAAAAAGAGTCCTTCAACGCAAACATAATAACAGTTGACCAATGAATTATCTTCACAATTCAGTATTTAGCTTAGCATAAAATATCATTGATGATGTCATACAGATAGAGGTAGTTGTGGGAGTTTCAGTCCATATATTCAGTACATACATAGTATTGAATGTATGTGCTGAATGTATTAGTATATGTTTCTTTCTAAAGATGAAACACTGTGTAAAAAAATTTGATAAGTGATTTTTTACTATTTTATAGTATGTATAAAATAGTAAAAAATAATATAGAAAATCACTTATCAAATTTTAAAACATGTCTTATCTGAAAGTTAGTTTCTAGGAATAAATATTTAGCTATTATTATTATTATTATTGTTATTAATAATATTTTATCATTATTATTATTACTAATATCAATTTTTTTATATAAGAATTATTCATCTAATAACTATCGCTTTTGTGTGTGTGTAGAATTTATATTTGTATTTTGGGTTTTTGTTTTAATACTAACCTTATTTGTCTTTGTTTGTGTGTGTGTGCATGTGTGTGTGTGTTTTTTGTTCGTATTTTTGCCTTTTTGCAGCTTGACCTGGTGTAGTAATAGAGATCTATTTTAAACAAGTGGACTTTGAATTTATCCAAATTAATGGTAGTACAATACTTAACATGTTTCCTCAAAAAACATCTTTGTTTGATAAGTTTCTAAGTTATTAAGTTAAAAGAGGTTAAAAAAAAAATTATAAAAATAAGTATCCTTTTTTAAAATAAGTATCCTTGTTGGCTTTGTCATCCTTGACAAAGTAAACAATATATATATATATATATATATATATATATATATATATATATATATATATATATATATATATATATATGTATATATATACATATATATATATGTGTGTGTGTGTGTGTGTATGTGTATATATCAGTGGTGGCCAAATTATTAGACTAGGCTACAAGACCAAGGTTATTTTCAAATGTACCTTTTTGCTGGACTTAAAAAGTTGTTTATATTCTTGGTCTAATTTAAGACTCTGCTAGGAAAAACTTTTAATTCTTTTTTTTTTGAGTATTAGTTAGATTTCGCGTTATGTAATTTATGGACAATCCCTTAGCACAAATTAATTTAAAATTTAGCACAAATTAAATTCTAATGTACCTTAGCACAAATACCTTAGCACAAATTAATTATTAAATTAATATATATAGTTACTTCATGTATAGACCATTTCATGTTGCCTTAGTGATAATAAGTGCAATTTATTTTTATTCTTTGTCAAGTATCATTTTATTGAAAACTTTAACTGTAAATTGAATATTAAAATATTCAATTTACAATTAAAAATGTCTGAATTTAACATCTTTTCCATATAAAGAGTTATATAAACACATAACATTAATGTAATTTATGTTATGTGTTTAGGAATTATGTAAACACATAACATAGATGACAACTGCATAACGTTTCTCCTGGTGGTATTTGAAATTTACAGCTATAATGAAATTTAAACCCACTTATTAAGACTATATTTATTTACAGAGTAAAAGAGGATGCTGAAAACTGATCATGGGGAAGTAGGTATGTCAAATATGTTAACTTTTTCTGTTTCAACAAAGAAAATGATCAACATATCCATATAACAAACAAAGTAAACTACATTAAATTCTTCACAAAAAATATTCATATAAGTGAAACTCTACATATAAATATACATATAAACCCCATTATTATCATCCTCACATATATATGTTAGGATGATAATAATGGGTTCAGTTCTCCCTTCTATTTGAATCACAACATCGTAACAATATTTAAACAGCTACAGTAATTAGTATGAAGATTGACAATACTTTATTTCAACTTTTACAAAATGATAACATTTAAGAATTCTTAAAAACACTGTAAAAAGTGCAAGTGTATTGCAAACAATAAATAAAGTTTATAATTAATAGAACCACAAGTAAAAAATCTAATTAGATATATAGGCTGTTTGAATTGTTAAACTGTAATGTAACTTTTAGAAAACAGATATCTTTTAATTAGGGATAGTCATGGTGAAATGGTAATATATATATATATATATAAATATATATATATATATATATATATATATATATATATATATATATATATATATATATATATATATATATATATATATATATATATATATATATATATATATACTCAAATATATGCATACACACACACACACACATACACACACACACACATACACACACACACACACACACACACACACACACACACACACAAACACACACACACACACACACACACACACATATATATATATATATATATATATATATATATATATATATATATATATATATATATATATATATATATATATATATTTACACTTACAGAAGTTTGTACTTAACACTATGCAAAATATGCATAACTTTAAATAATTGTTATTACATATATACTTATATAAATGTATATTAATTACTTTTACTTCCTTATAAAAAAGTGCTGAGAGAGACTATTTCTTGCCATTACCTTGTTCGAAATGGCTGCCAAGAAATCTGTGATAACATGCAGGAGTGAGCAATATTACCTACCTACTACTTACCTACCTACCTACTACAACAACAACAATTACTACTACTACTAAAACAATAACAACACCAACACCAACAACTACTACTAGTACTAAAACTACTACTACTTCTAGTACTACTACTTCTGCTACTACTACTACTACTGCTACTAGTACTACTGCTACTACTAAATAATACTACTAAATAATAACAATCTTTATTAAATATAGATGAACAAAACTATAAAAGAACTATTACTTATAAAATTAAATACGAGCAATAAAAATCAATTAAAAAAACAACCATAAAATTTAAAAAATAAATTTAAACAAAAAATAGAATAAAAAACCACTTTAAATAAATATAATTAGTTAAGTAGTAAAAACCTTGTTTTTAGAATTCTGTCTATTATTACTGGAATTTTGGTTCAGCAACAATAACTAGTTCCATCAGATAAACATCATCACTACTTATAAAGTTTATCCCATCAGATAAACATCATTACTACTTATGCTTTATTTAGTACTTATGTTCTACAATGCAGTAAACAAAACATCACTAGAACCAGCCAAAAAATAATTGCACTCAAACTTGTAAAGCACCAATATTTTTGAAAAAATTAAAGTAAAGTGTTGTATATGCATTATCAAATAATTTATAATGCATTTACAATTTAATATATTATTTATGGTTTTTAGAGTTATAAGATGTAAACTCTAACACAATTTAAATAATAACAACACCACCAAATATATAATAACAATATCATTTATTAAAGGTTCAAAAAATTTCTTTAATAATTTTATATTTACAAATTATAAACATAAATAATGCTTTAAAAACAAATAAGAGTGATCTTTACTTAGCTTCGCCACGAACAGTAATTTGTGTGTATATGTGGGGAAATGTCTGCGATAAGAAAATATCTACAAATATAGCAGTTAAACCCCATACATTATGATAGTTGTTTTTGTAAACAGGAAGTACCCACTTGTTTTTAAACTTTGTGTAACCATATAAATCTTCATTTAGAAGTTGAGTTAATGAAACACAGAAGACCTCTTTGACCTAAATGAATTAAAAAACATATACTTTAAAATTTTATTAATGTTTAATTTAACAGATATCATTATTAAATATAAATGTAAAGTATATTATTTTTTTATTTGCATTTTGTTTTGATTCCAAAAATATTATTTATAATATTCATAAACTTTTTGAGATTAAAGAACTGACAGAGTTCAGAAAAAATCATATTTGTTTCCTAAAATCTCTTTCTTAAATGAGATGATGAATGAAATGAACAATAAAAATATATACAGTCTTCTTCTATTGCTATGTAGACAATAAAAACACAATATTTTAATTAAAAAAGATTCCTTGAGACTTTTTTAAGTAACAATTTTTGTTAAAAATGTAACGAAAAAATTTTTTAAACTCATTATTTACTTTTTAAATCAAGAATCTAAAAAAGACTAAATCTAAAGCAAACAAAAAAAAAGTTTTGAAATTTAAAAAAAAAATTCCAAAATTTACCATAATTTAAAAATTGACTATTAAAGCATTATTGATAAGTTTGAGTTCAAAAACGTTTTTGTAACTATGATGATTTCTGTTGTCCAACCAGCTCAATTTGGGGCTAAAAATGTATGATGTTTTAAACAACTGACAGAACCTTGAAATTTATTTTATAAATATTTTTTGCAAAATCTTAAGATGAGTGTTCATTGTGTCTTTCATAACAGAATAAAATTCAAAGTTTAATAATATTATTTAGTAATTCAATCAAAATACATAATCGTTCTTCATACATAATTTAATATGTTTGTTGACAATAAAACTCATAAAAACTTACTGAGCATATAACAAAGGGCCTGAGGAGAACCAATAAAAATAACCAAAAACTTTATTATACAAAAATCATTAATTCAACATGATTATTAGGAATCTCAATTTTCTACACACTCCCCCTTGTTGACTTGTCAACAAAACTTGTCCCTTAATTGTCTTAAATATTGTTTTTCTATGGCAGACTGTTTATTTGGTTATATCATTTGACCTATGCATCATATTGGCCCACTCAGTCTCTTCATCAACTATACTGACTATATATTTTTTGAAGCATTTTCATCTGTATGATTATCCAAATCAACATTTATTTCCAGGGGGATTAATTTTTGAACAGGGCAAAAACACAATTGGGTTCTTCCTTTACTTGAGCCAAATTAGCTGCTTGAATTTAGCAGTCTTTCTCTTTTACGATTTCCATGACATTCCTATCATATCTTTTCCATTAAGATCTGGGTTTAAAGTCCTAATTATAAATTAAACAATGTCATCATTTATTCTTAAAACATACCTTTGTTTTTTACCATTAAATTTGTTATACAAATGTTGTTGTTTTAACTGCTTCAGGTAAACCATATTAAAACAACTTATTTTTAAAAATAAATTGTTCATTTTTTTAAATCTAACATCTCAAGGTTTAAATCAGCTTCCAAATTATTTTTTGTTATATCATGTTTAAACATTAAATGAAAAAAAGTGCTTTTCCCATGTCATCTTCACTTATGTAGATAGGTGGTCTACTATTTATTACAGATTCAATCTCACACAATACAGTTTGCAATCTTTGGAAAATCTCTTGTTACTTCATAAGTAACAAGAGATTTTCCTAGAACTTTTTGTAGTGGAACTTTGACTGACCGCACTAGTCTTTCATAAAATCTTCCACTAGGTAATGTGTAGAAAAAATTAAGTTCATTCTTTTACTGGAAAACCTCATGATAAATCTATCAAAATCAGCCAATCCATAAAAGGTGCAGATTATAGTGCAGAGTATAGTATTTTAACCATTGAAACCTTAAAATAATTATTGGGCCTTATGGCAAGCTTTAGCTTATAGATTTTTTACAAAATTTTGGATAACACACTTTTTAGCCGTTGTCCCACTAAAAAATATTTTCTTTAGACTATGGTATGAAGAAAAGATTTTTTAGTGGGACAACGGCTAAAAAGGGTGTTTTGTCCTAAGTAACTTTTTGCTGTTGCATAAAGACAGAAAATTTGATGGGAATGAGTAAATTCTTTATGAGTTTAAATCCTTCCTAAATTCATCAATACTTGGAAATGATTTTGAAAACATTCAATGCAAATCCATCTATTACTCCTGGAATGATCAACAATTTCATATCCATTGAAATTTGTTCCACAGTTTTGCCATTATTAGCTACTTGCACAACCAATTCTTTAACAATTTCTGTTAAATATTTATTATGTCTAATTAAGATGAATAAACTACTGAATTTTTTTAGAAAAAAAAGTTTAGAAGAAAAGAAAAAGAAAAAAAAAGTTGATGGAACTTAGTTTGTCTAATTATGTTTGAGCATCTTATTACTTTTAATATAATTTTGAGTAATTACTCTCAAATGTAATATTTTCGCTATAATTAATATAATTTGACATATTTACAAGAAATTTCATTAAAAAAAATTAAATTTTTAAGAAAGTATTAAAAAAAGCTGTTTTGTCAAATTAGTTTTAGATGCGTGTGCGTGTGTATGTAACGGGTGAGGATAAATTAGTTACACAAAAGTTAACTTAGTTTTGTTTGAAATCCATAATATTATATTTTACCAAAAGCTGAAGCTGCTAACCATTTTATTAAATAAGGAATCTGTCGCAATACAGCATATATTTATATCAATCGATACCTTAAAGGACAGAGTTTAAAAAATTCTGGCCAAATTTTCGCCCATCATCGTGGACATAAGAAAAAAAAGTAAAATTTTGCAGGTTGACCGACAATCGAAAAGGTGTAAGTTAAAGAAAACTAACATGTTAATTCAACACCGATCAAAAGACAATTTGTACACAATTGGCCAAAATGAACATAGCCAAAAACTCGTAAATCACCTCTATAAAAAACAGAGTGTATCAATTATAGACAACTCACTTTGTTATATTTGGAACAATTGTTTTTTCATAATTTGATATTATTTTAGGTGTTTATGTTAAAAAAATTATATTTTAGGTTGAAGTTTTTTTAGAAAAGTTTTTTTCTGCAAGGTTAGATCAGAATAATTCTTCTATTTATTTAGTTACAAAAAATGTGTAACTATTTTATTTACATTAATTTGCGCTTTTGCTAAATATTTAAGATATAGTTTTTTTATATATATTTATAAAGGAATAAACCTTTGGAAATTAAACCAGCTTCCAAGGTGTCAAATGAAAGGTAGATATACTATTTATAACTTTTATTTTTCAAACCAATACTATTAACTTATAATATTATTTATTTTAAGCATGAAAAGTGAAATAATGAGACCTCTTGAAAATGATGATTTCCTGGCTGCATCAACAGTATTTATAAATTTGATATTTAATTATATAATTTTATATATACATTTTTCAATTTGGTAAAATTTGTATGTATGAGTTGTTATATATATATACATATATATATATATATATATATATATATATATATATATATATATACATACATACTTTTTTTTAAATAAAAACATATATACATATACATATATATATATATATATATATATATATATATATATATATATATATATATATATATATATATATATATATATATATATATATATATATATATATATATATATATATATATATATCCTTATAGTGTAGTCAAAAGAGGCTTTTATGGTAAAAAAAAAAGTCTCTTTCGACTACAATTTTTTTACCTTGTCTCTTAAGCTGCATTTTATTGTCGTCAAAATGTCAAAGCAATTAAATTAATGCAGTAGTACATTAAATTTTATTGTTTTTTAAAAAAACCGCAATTATAATGAATAGAAAATTTTTTTTTAATTAGTGGTGTTTTTTTTATAATATATATATATATATATATATATATATATATATATATATATATATATATATATATATATATATATATATATATATATATATATATATATATATATATATATATATATATATATATATATATATATATATATATATATATATATATATATATATATATATATATATATATCTATATATATATATATATATATATATATATATATATATATATATATATATATATATATATATATATATATATATATATATATATATATATATATTATAAAAGTAGTTTGAAAATGTATTCTACAAACATATTAACACCATGTTCCATCAAATAAATATTACAAAAATTGACTCTTAAAAAAAAATAAATTTCAGATGAGTCTTTATTGATGAAACACAGTGTTAAATGAAATCAAGGTGGTACAGTTGGTGGAGAAAATTTTGTTTGTAAAAATTGTTATGGTACTTACTTATATAAGTTGTTTTAAACCTTTTTTGCTATTTTAAAATAAAAATTAAAAGTTCAAATAAAATATTTTTATTTATTAAATATATATTTTAATCATTAAATGTCTCATATTTTTCATATGCTTGTTTTATAGTTCCAGTTGACCTAAATAAGCATATATAGTTCCATGTTTTAAGAATAAATTATGTTTTTCTTGTGCTTTAAATTATGAATTTTTGGCGCAAAATATGTGATGAAAATTTTTAATATTTGTTAGGACTTTTAATGTTATTTTTTATTATATTGCTTAAATCCTATAGATAGTATTGATGTCATGACAAAATCAGAAAATATAATTTCCCAAGGTAAGTTTATTTTTTTGTTTTTTTTTATCTTTCATTGTTTTATCCTTTTTATGTTTAAAATGCCTCTAGATTTGCGTGTGAGTGAGTGTGTGTGTGTGTGTCAATATACATATATATATATATATATATATATATATATATATATATATATATATATATATATATATATATATATATATATATATATATTTTATATATATATATATATATGTATATATATATATATATATATATATATATATATATATATATATATATATATATATACACACAAATAGTATTGCGATCTATGGTAAGCAATCTGACGTCATACTGAAATAGCCTGCTGCTGAGGGCTTCAGTACATACATCACTGACAAATAGCCTGAATCACAGAGGAGTGCTGCTACATC